AGGGTATTGTTTATATCTCCACAGGAGAGGGAGAGAGAGACCAGGCTTCAACCCGATGTGCCAAAATGTGAGTACAGCATAGCGGCATGTACCAGGAACCAAGAGAAAAGTTTGCAGGGCCGGCCCCAATCCCAATTATGTGGACACCTCCCCCACCCCCGTTTAGAAGAATGCACTTCGAGGACAGCACTGGGGCGACAGCTTGGGGAGAGGGGTGCGTTGGATTAGAGCAGACGGGAGAAACGATGAGGGATGGAGAGAGGGGAGCACATCCTGGCCCCCCAAACCCCGAGGACGGTGTTCCTGCTCAGAGCAGACAACACACAGGGAGGACCGTAGGACCAGCCCTACCACGGAACACAGCGTCCCTCACTGAACCATGATGCTGGGGGGACAGCACTGGAGACAGTGCAGGAATAGTGCACGGTCTGGCCCCATCATGCTGGGACGAGGCACTGAGGGCATGCAGCAGGGCAGCAGGGGGAGCAGACTGATGAAACCCCCAGGGAATACCAAAAATAGACTTTGGAGACAGACTGTGGCACCCCGTCAGGCTTGACTGGAAAACACTTGTAAAGGCCAACAAACCGACCTTGAATGATTTATAGACTTTTACATTTTTGTCAGTGACTTTCTTTTTGTTGTTGTTATTGTTTTGTTGGTTTTGACTTCCTTTATTGTTTTCTTTGGCTTTGCCTGGTTTTTGCACTTATTAATGTATCTGCATGTCTATCTAGATAAGATAGGTGGGATAAATAATTTGGAGATGAAAAGAACGGTACCAATGGTTCCGGGGGGGATATGTGAGAAGGGGCGTTGGGCGACAGGAAGGGGGTGTGGGGAACCAACCCAGGGACAAGTGAACTAAAATCAATGGACAGAAAGTCATAAAATGCTTAGTGGGGCTTAATCAAGCACAATGTAGCAGTGAAGAATTACTAAACCTGAATGAAGGCTGAACATGATGGTGGGCCAAGCGGACAGTAAAAGGAAATAGAGGAAAGAACATTTCTAGAGGCCTAAATACAGGCATGTCCATATGAAAATATATATACCACGTTCCCCCAAAATAAGACACTGTCTCATATTTATTTTTCCTCAAGAAAACACACGATGGCTTATTTTCAGGGGATGTCTTATTTTTATTAAGTGTGGTACAACAATCCACATTTATTCAAATGTAGTTAAGTCGTCTTCTTCTGGAACTTCAACCCACGGTGCTGAGTGAAACGGCAGCCACAGCTTTCCTTCCTCCCCCTGAGGACACACACTACCTAAAGCAGAGCCTCCTGCTCCCCACTTCACTGAGGAGACTTTGACTTTCACTCCCCCTGTCTCCCTCTGTGCCTCAGCTTGCAGCACGCACAGAACCACCGCGATCTGACAGGAGGAGCTGACCTCGTTGATGGGCTGCCCGCACATCTCCACTCACCTCTGAGATAGCAGCTGTCACGATGGGGCAGAAGAAAAAGGCTGCCCATCTTCGTGACCGCTCCGCGCCAGTACACTACTATGTCTTATTTTGGAGGTATGGCTTATATTGCACAAATGCATACAAATCCTGCTATGGCTTATTTTATGGGTATGTCTCATTTCCAGGGAAACACAGTATAATGAGAGGGGAATAGAACTATGTACTCATATTATATGTTAAGAATTAAGGTTGCAGATGGACATTGGGCCTTGACTCAAGTACTCCCTCAACACAAGAACACGTTGTTCTAACAATCGGCATTCTGTGATACTCACCTTCCCTGACACGATCACTGAAGACAAAATGGGTGCATAAGCAAATGTGGTGAAGAAAGCTGATGGTGCCCGGCTATCAAAAGATATAGTGTCT